GCCTCGTGGTGAAGCTGGTGGTACCAAACAGCTGGTGAAGCTGGTGGTACCACACAGCTGGAACTGCACCTCTGGGAAACACCAGAACTGGGAGGTTGGAGTCATCCCACCCCCTCATCATCCTCCTCACACTGATCACAACTCAAGCTGTGCCCAAAGAGAAGGCACAACCCGAGATGGGACCAAAGCTCCAGCGCTCAACTCAACCGTGGTGCCGCGTGGTGAAGCTGGTGGTACCAAACAGCTGGTGAAGCTGGTGGTACCAAACAGCTGGAACTGCACCTCTGGGAAACACCAGAACTGGGAAGACTGGAGTCATCCCACCCCCTCATCATCCTCCTCACATTGATCACAACTCAAGCTGTGCCCAAAGTGAAGGCACAACCCGAGATGGGACCAAAGCTCAACCGTGGCGCCTCGTGGTGAAGCTGGTGGTACCAAACAGCTGGTAAAGCTGGTGGTACCAAACAGCTGGTGAAGCTGGTGGTACCAAACAGCTGGAACTGCACCTCTGGGAAACACCAGAACTGGGGAGATCAGTCATCCCATCCCTCTGCTCTGGTGGCAACTGTGCCACGACCACCAGCCAAAGCTCCACCACTCAACTCAGCACCACGGTGCAAAGGCTGCTGGGCGGTGGCAGATGGTGCCAAGAGGGGCAGCTCCTGGCCAGAGGGCTCCACCAGTGTCCCACAGTGTGTCACCAACTGCCACCAACACCCAGAGCTCCACCGGGATCCAACAAGTGTCAGCAACCACCACTAGAGCCCAAAGGCTTCACCAGGGTCCAAGAAGGTTTGGGCAAGATCGTGGTGACATGGAGAGACAGCAGGGACAGAGCAGGTTGTGGGGACATGGAGAGACAGCAGGGACAGAGCAGGTTGTGGGGACACGGAGAGAGACAGCAGGGACAGAGCAGGGTGTGGGGACATGGAGAGACAGCAGGGACAGAGCAGGTTGTGGGGACATGGAGAGACAGCAGGGACAGAGCAGGTTGTGGGGACATGGAGAGACAGCAGGGACAGAGCAGGTTGTGGGGACATGGAGAGACAGCAGGGACAGAGCAGGTTGTGGGGACATGGAGAGACAGCAGGGACAGAGCAGGTTGTGGGGACATGGAGAGACAGCAGGGACAGAGCAGGTTGTGGGGACATGGAGAGACAGCAGGGACAGAGCAGGTTGTGGGGACATGGAGAGA